AACAGTACCCTCAGCAGTGGCAGCTGGGTCGACAGCAACACGTAGACGGACAGGCCATGATGGACGCGTTGCTGGGACAGGCATTGATGGATGCCTTCTTCAGCGCAGCGTCGCCCGAAGAGCGGCGAATGCGGCAGCCGCGCGAGCAGGTGCGCGCGGAGACTGGGATTGTGCACGACGCTGCAGACATGCTTCCTCGGATCGTCGTGTCCGGCGCTGAAGGTCGGCTGGATGAGCGGTGCCAGCTCCAGGTCCGTCGCGAGAACACTTGCCACCTGCACGATGTTCCACTTCGCCTGTGTGCGTATCGTTTGAGTGCACCGTGTGTGTCGTGTGTGTCGCGTGAAAAGTGTGTGGGCTGCAGAGGAGTTGATGTCCGGTGATCGTTCGCTCGCCACGTCCCTCTTTCGTTAGGAATGTGCAGGACACAAAGAACGGCTCCCCGACTCGCGACCGCATCAGCCCCCTCCGCACGTACGTCAACAGAACTCATGGTCCGGCACGCCGAACGACGACATGGGGAAGCCGTACAGCTCGCACTGTTGTTAGTGACCAACGTCAGCCGTCCAGTCCATCAATGTGTTTCGTGCCGGGTCGTGCGGAGCGTACCGTGTCGTAGCGAGGAGATTGCACAGGGATGGCGACGCGTACGCGATGATGGGCGTGTCCAGGTCGTCCAGCGTCTCGGCCTCTGCCATTCGCATGACCACGAACGGCCGCCTGATGATGACCACCAGCCATGCCGTTCCAATGTCAGTCCCAACCACCACTTTCGTGCCCGCCGTGGCGGACTGGAAGGGGTGAGGGTACTGCAAATCGCGGAGGATGAGCGACGATGTTTACATACATCAACGCGTTTTATCTGCTACGCGGTCATCAGCGCATCCATCTCTCGGCGAGACTGGCTGGCGGGTGGAAGCCCAGCACCTGATGATGGTGGTGGCCAAACTTTGGCGAACATACGCCGGCAGCACCGCTGCTCTGGATCGGCAAGTCCAGGGCACGCACGAGCGCCTCCAGCTCACCATCTTCTTCTTCTTCTTCTTCTGCCTGTTCGGGGGTCGTCGCATCTCGCCAGAGACTTGATGGTGATGGTCGCTGGAGTGTCTGCTCGCTGCCGCCGCGGAGTCGCCCAAAGAGCAGCGAATGCAGGTACGCCCGGATTGTGGGTTCGCGCACGGCCTCGCGGAAAGGCATTGGCCTCGCGGGATTGTACACCCCTTTGTGTATGACCACCGGTGCCGACTGGAGTCCCGCTTCGAGAATGCTGTCCACCTGCATTACGTGCCATTCCGCCTGTGTCGTGTGTGCTGTTTGTGTGAATAAAATTGGTGGCTCGATGAGCGGAGGAGGGTCGTACCACGCGCCGTTGGTTGTAGACGAATTGGTGCTGGCAGGTCACCCGCACGTTGTGTCCCTGTTTCGTCACGAAGCAGCCGCTCGCAAAGAATGGCCGACCGACGGGTGTGAGCGACCGCACCAGCGTCAGCCGCACGAACATCGGCAGATGCTCAGCATCTGGCCCGCCGAACCAAGTGGCCGGGGAGCCGTGCATCTCGCACTGTTGCCAGGTAAGGGCCAGAGTCAGCTGGGTGGTGCGTGTGTGTCGTACGTGTGCCGCTTGTACAACGAACAAGTGGAGAAGGCGGGCGGGCGCGTACCTGGTCGTAGCCGATGAGCTTGCACAGGGCCGGTGACGCGTACGCTACGATGGGCGTGTCCAGGTCGTCCAGCGTCTCGGCCTCTGCCACGTGCAGGACCATAAACGGCCGCCTGATGATGACCACCAGCCATGCCGTCCCAATGTGTGTCAGTCACGTTCACCCAAGTCTCTTACCCGCCGTGACGGATTGGAAGAGAAAAGTGGGTGGTGGGGCGGTGGGGTTGGTGGTGAGTGTGTACTGCAAGTCGCGGAGGATGAGAGACGAGCAATCGAACGCCCGCAGGAACGGCAGCGTCTGCGCGATGAACTGCTCCACGTCGGCTCCCGGCGTCGTGAGCCCCTCCACCGCCGCCTCTGCAAGCAGTCCAGCACACGCGCCCGGTTGTGCCGCGGACTGTGAACGAGAGTCGGATCGCGGTGGTGGGCATGGGTGGACCGCCATGACGTGGTCGTCGATCTTCTCGTTGAGCTCCATGCGCGTGTGGTTGAGCTCCACGCGCGTCTGCTCGAGCTCGATGTGGGTCTGCTCCAGCTGGCGGCTCTTGATCTCGTGGTCCTGCTCCACGCGTGCCAGCCTGCGCTCGGTCTCCTTCTGTGTGGCGCGCATCTGGGCGATGGTGTCGTGGAGGTGCTCGTTCTCGCGCCGCATCTCGCGCACCTGGTCCACCACCAGCATCAGCAGCGACTGCAGGCCCTGCCAGTCCTGCTCCTGTTGGCCCTGCTGGCCCGCCACCGGCCACGGTAGAGCCCGCGGCGCGAATCCCGTGGGCTGCGAAGGCGATGATGATGACGACGATGAGGGAGGCGACCATGACGACGCCCAATCCTCTTCCGCCGCCGGTGGTTCCAACAATGACGATGATGACGACGACGATGAGGGCGAAGAGGAGGAGGAGGAGGCGAAGCGGTGTGGGCCTGCAGCAGGCGCAGGTGCGGCGTGTGGTGGCTGGCTGTCGCTGGGCGGATCGACAACAGGGTCGGTCGCCTTGCGCCGCACGCAAAAGCGCTTGCTCGCTGCTGCTGTCTGGGCTTTGATGGTGTGTGGTGGTGGTGGTGGTGGTGGGTGCGGCTGGCGTTGGTGGTCGCGGTGGTGCGGTGGCACAGCAAGTGTCCCCGCGTGGGCTGGTTGGTCGTCGGGTGGGGGAGCCTTGCGTGGTGGGCGGCCGCGCTTGCGCGTGGGAGGCGGCTGGCAGGTCACCGTCTTGCCCAGCCTCACGCACCGCCCGCACGGCTGCTCTCTGTGGGTCCATGACACGTTAAACAATGCGTGAAGAATTGGGGGGGGGGTGGCAACACGGACCGGTCGCAAGAGACGTGGGCAAGACGGCACGTTGCGCACGCCTTTGGCCCCACGGTGGTTGCTGTGTCGGCGGCAGGCTGTTGATGCATTCCTCTTGTTGTTGTTGTTGTTGGGCGGTGCGAGGAGAAGGCGGAGCTGCAGCTCCTACTTCTTCAGGCTTTTTGCTTTTTGGGCTTGTTGCTTTGGCTCGGGGACAAAGCACGGAGCCCGCTGCTTCCACTGAGAAGAAGGAAGACAGAATCAAGAATGGCGACTGTGGCCAGCGTCGTTGAATCTCATCTGAACTCCAGGTGACATCTTGGTGGCCTTTCGTCACTACCACGTGCAGAAGGGCTATCTTGACTGGGTGATTAAGTCCGCTCTATCGCAAAAGGAAGAAGAAAGAAGACAGGCAGCACCGCTTCCGCACCCAGGCAGTGGTTGTCCATGACCGGCACCACCCAGCAAAAGCAGAACCCCAAAGCCAAGAGGCCTGAAGATGAAAAGATGGATCACAGCCCCGCACGAACGCAGCAGCCTGCCGTCGACACACACGCACCACCCAGCTGACTCTGGCCCTTACCTGGCAACAGTGCGAGATGCACGGCTCCCCGATGACTAGGTTCGGCGGGCCAGTTGCTGAGCATCTGCCGATGTTCGTGACTGATGCCGATGCGGTCGCTCACGCCCGTCGGTCAGGCATCCTTTGCGAGCGGCTGCTTCGTGACGAAACAGGGACACAACGTGCGGGTGACCAGCCAGCACCAATTCATCTGGTACGACCCTCCTCCGCTCATCGAGCCACCAATTTTATTCACACACACACACACACACAGCACACACGATACAGGCGGGATGGCACGTAATGCAGGTGGACAGCATTCTCGAAGTGGGACTCCAGTCGGCATCGGCGGTCATACACAAAGGGGTGTATAACCCCGCGAGGCCGTGCGCGAACCCACAATCCGGGCGTACCTGCTCACGCGGCTGCCGCATTCGCTGCTCTTTGGGCGACTCCGCGGCGACAGCGAGCTGACACTCCAGCGACCATCACCATCAAGCCGGCGTCACGCGACGACTCCTGAACGGGCAGAAGAAGAAGACGATGGTGAGCTGGAGGCGCTCGTGCGTTGCCCTCTAGCACGAAAAACTGTCGCGGTCAAGGTTTCTCATTGGTAGACACAAGCAAGTCCTGTTTGGCAACGCCAGGTTCCATTCGCCCCATCAGCGCATCCACCGCTCGGCGAGAGTGGCCGGTGTCGTGGGCGGCGTGCGCGACGAGTTGAATCCCATCACCAAACGGCTGAACGGTGACGCACGCACGCCGCCGCTCTCGATCGGCAACCCGAGGACCCGCATGATCTCGTCCAGCTCGTCGTCGACCTCTTCTGACCCTTGTGCGCGCGTCATCACGTCTTGGCGGCCTGGCGGTCGTTGGTGCTGGTGGTGCTGCGTCATCGCGGCCATCAGAGCTGCCGCCTCCTCCACGGTGAGATCTTCGATCGCAGGTTGAGTGCTAGTCATCTCGCCCTGGCACCCGAAGAGCAGCGAATGCGGCAGCCGCGCGAGCAGGTGCGCTCGCACGATGGGATCGTGCACGATGCTGGGGATCGGCCGCATATGAGGTGTCGGACCCAGATCCGTTCCGAGAACGCTGTTTACTTGCATGATCTGGTACTGCGCCTGTCGTGGCATGTGTGTCGTGTGTCGTTTTATGAGCGTGGAACTGTGAGTGGAGCCAGTGAGAGAGACCCGGACAGTACCAGGCGTCGTTGACTGTAGAGGAATTGATGCGCGGTGGACAGTGGCACGTTGCGTCCCTGCTTCGTTATCAGCGGTCCGCGCGACAAGAAGAGAGGCTGGCCGACTCGCGTGGGCGGCCGCATCAGTATCACCCGCACGAATGCCGCCAGATACTCGGGCCTCGGTGAGCAGATGGAAGTTAAGCGAGAGCCGTGCAGCTCCAACTGTCGCCAGTCCCCCCCCCAACACCAATCGCGGCAGACCGTTTCAGTCTTGTCGGTGGTACGGTGGGGCAAGGCGGTAGCGCGTACCATGTCATAGCCGAGGAGCTCGCACATAGACGGTGACATGTAAACGATGACGGGCGTGTCCATGTCGTCCAGCGTCTCGGCCTCCTTCATTCGCGAGACAATGAACGGCCGCCTGATGACATCCGGCATTGATGAATAGTATGAATGAAGATGGGCGTGGGTGTGGGTGTGGGTG